TGGGGGCACAGACAGATGCTAGTGCTGCCTGCCCCTTCCCTCCTGACCTGAGAGTTTCTGACCACCCTTTAGATGGTTTCATCTGGGCCTAATAGGGTAATGCAGCAGTGAGGAAGCGAGGGGGAGTGGAGGCGGCAGAGCCGGAAGGCCACCCCTGCCTAGGGGCTCCCCTAACCTCCTATCTGCAGTGTCCTGTGCCAGGGGTCTCTGCGGGCACCTTCCAATTCAGCAGCCCTTCCATTATCTGTGGCCCCCATGCCTCAGGCAGACAGTGGTGTGGATAAATGGGGGTGGGGGATGGGGCTCTCTGCCTTTCCTTTCGGAAAAGACTGCCGGTCCTGCCCAGACATTGACCTCTCAAAGGCTAAAGGTGTCTCTGAGAGTGTGGGAGTGGGCAGGATCCCAGGGGGAGAAGAGAGGCCGAAGAGGGGGAGAAAGGGCCAGGGCTGTCTGTGGGGACATGAAGGCCAGGACCACTTCACCCACTCCCACCAACCTTGCTGAGTGCCCAGTCCTGAGACCCGGCCATCCCTCCACCCTTCCAATTCACCAGTGAGCTCAGTGGCCTGGCCCAGACAGGTGCTGAGTCCACCCCGCTGGCAACCTCCCCAGCCCTGTCCTGGGCACCCAGCCTGTTGTCCTGCCACCTTGCCCAGCCTGTATTTCCTAGGAAGCAGGACCTGGGAGGGAGACCTGCGTGCAGGAAGCTGCTGCAGAGGAAGCAGTTAGCGGCCAGCACTCTTGCCATTGGGTTCTCAGCCTCCACGGAGCATCGGAGGAGGCCCAGGACCGCTTCACACCTACAGTGAAGCCATTGTTGGAGGCAGCATCCCCAGGGAAGGAGTGGCTCTCTGGGGAGGCAGCTGCAGGAGGACGGTGGAGGGGGAGGGCTGAGACTAAGTCACCCAGGCAGCAGGTGAAGGTAGGACTTGCAAGCCCACTGCATTCCCCAGCCGGAGCCCGACGTGCAAGTTAGTGAGAGCTCTCCTGGCCTTCCTGGCCTTAAGAGACAGCCCGGGGTCTCAGGCTGCATCTCCCAGCTCCCATGCTCCCTCTCCTGGGACTCTTGACCCCTCAGCCATCCCGCGTAGTCACTTCTCTGGCCCCTGGCCCAGGCACTGTCCTCTCAGCCAAACCCTGCCCACGGGGTGACCTCTGGCACCACAACGCCAGTTCTGAGGCCCAGACAAGTGCTCCTGCACAGCTCAGGCCCTAATCTCAGGGCACAGATGGGGAAACTGAGGCTGCGGGGTGAGGCTGCCAGTGGAGAAGAGAGAGTTCCGGGCGCTCTCTGGCCAAGGCCCAGGACCCTGGGGTCTGCTATCCATCAGCCCTGCTGGGCGGCGGGGATTGAGCTGGGAAGAAGGGAAGTCTTCTCCCAGCCCGAAGCGCAGGGGAGGGAAGCTCTGAGCATCCTGCCAGCAGATCAACAGCTTCGTGAGGGCAGCATGGTAGTTACAGTTTTTAAATTAAGTGAATAATTAAAAAGAAGTTGATTACCAATTAGCTAATTAAATAATGCATTTTGCTTTCATATTCCCGCTTTTCCCCTATTTTTTTCTCCCTTATTTTTTCTTTCCATTTTCTCTTTTTTTTTTTCCTTTTTTTCTTTTTTGGTTAATCACTGTGGCCGCGGTAATGAGCCGCCTCGGGTTGCCAGGCAACCAGCTCCCGGTTACACAGCCGCAGCTGCCTCCCGTCAGCGCCCTGACTGCTGCGCTTGAGGCTCGGCGCCCGGGCCGTCACCGCGGGGGGAGGGGGCCCCGGGGGGAAGGGCGGGGCCGGGGCGGGGCCGGGCGGAGGGCGAGGTGGGGAGGGGCTCGGGTCTCCGCGGAGGAGGGGACCAGGGTCCCTAGCCGGAGGGGGCCCTGCGGAGAGGAGCGGGGCCGGGAGAGGGGGTCTTGGCGGCAGAGGGGTCGGGTCCCCGGCGGGGGAGGCGGGGTCCTTTGAGCACCACGACCCCGTGCAGGCCCAGACGACACCCACGGGGGAGGGCAGAGGCTCCCCAAGCGCTCTGGGGTCCGGCCCGTCCGTCCCGCCGCCCCTTTCTGCCCCTCCGCACCCCATCCCGAGCACTCGGGGGCGTCTGCGCCTCGGGCTTCACCTGCCTCGCGCGCGCCCCAGCGCCGCGGGTCTCAGTTTCCCCGGTGCCGGGAGCTGCGGTCACGCAGGCGAGAACAGGCGGAGGCCCCAGGTGGCCAGGGCGAGGCCGCGGGTCCGAGGCTTTCGAGAGACCCACCCGAGATCGAGCGGACCAAGAGGCCGCGGTCCGGACCGCGAAGGGCGGGGAGACGGGCGCGCGCCCTCCGGGGTCACCACTCTGCGACCAAGGGACACAGGCGGTCCACGCTGGCGAGGCCCGCGGTCTCCGGGTCTCGGGTGGGTGCCGCGGGTGCCCCCCCAGACCCCGCCCCCGGAGAGGCCCTTTCGGCCCCAGCGTCGCACCGAGGCCCTCCCGCGCACCTCTCCAGGGGCCGCCCGTCCCCGCCTCTCCCGAGGCCTCCGCGCTGTCCTGCCACGGCTGCCCGCCGGTCTCCCACCTCTGCTCCAGCCCGCGCCTGGCGCGCTCTCCACCCACCCCGACTCGCGGCGGTGTTTCGTGTGTGTTTTTCTCTAATTCTCCGGAGTTACTCTTTTGTTGCCAATTGTTTCTATGCCCCGAGGCCACGCTGTAAATGAGATGTTACATCTGCACCGAGCTAAGTAAACACTTTATCAATGAATAAATAAGTGAATAAATAACGAAATAGTCTCGGGGACCCTCCCGGCTGCCAGGGCTCCGGCCACAGGGTCGCGGGTCCCCAGTTCAGAGGTTGGGGAGGGGAAAAGATGGTTCGGGACCAGGCGCCCCCCCCAGCCTGCCCGTCCCTCAGTCAAGCCCCCACCCCACCCCCGCACCCTGCTTTTCCTCCCTCTCCCAAACGCTCTCTAGGCTCCATGCATTTCCCCACGTGTCGTTTGGGATTGGTGCTCACACCCTCCGCTAGAAAAAAAGGAATCCAGATCAGAGCGGGTCCTAACCCTAGGCTTGCCACCGCTGCCTGGCAGCTCAGGGTGGTCATCTAGACCCGG